CACAGCAGCTCGAGCGAAATAAAATAACTTAGCTTTCGTCAAAGCTTTAACAAGGAACTAAATCCCAAGTTTAGCATGGAACTATCTTCGACCAAGCCCCAACTGGCTCGAATAGTTCGTCTAACCCTTGGAACCAAGCCCTGAGATATCCGATCTCTCAATAGATGGTATCTCTCGACAAAGTACATAACAAAGTACTTACCCCAAACAACACACAGCAAATGGGGTTCAATTCAAGTCATGTAATCACCCCCATCAGCACACAGCAAAATGGTGATACTCAAGTCATGTAATCACCCCCATCAGCACACAGCAAAAGGGTGATACTCAACATAAGGCATATATTCTCATATAGAAAATCAAAACAATGGATGGGGTTAGGTCGAGTGAGATAAAATACACTCTCGCCTAAGTACCCATTTAACATATACAAAGCACTTTAACAATTCCACATCAATAAACAACCCAATTACTCACTTGATAAAGTTTGGTACGAAAAACGATACAAGTCACTGAGCTTGACCGTCACTGTCAAAAGCCTCACAGTCTGTATAGATAGAGTATATACACACATAAGTGAAACGGCTATACAATAGCAGTTTATAACTGAAATGATTGAGAACGGTAAAAATAATCAAAAAACGGTATAAAACGGGTTACACGATTTTGATCATAATTGGAGCTGTGGTTATCGGATCAAAATGTACTAGCTAGTGTCTCGAAACTTAGATAAAAGGTTACAACTTTCATGAAGACACCTCGACCCAGTTTTTAGGGTATTCAAGTCATATTTACAAAATACAGAACTAGAACTCCAAAGGCTAGTTTTTGTTTCTCGTGAAAATTTGGCGGCATGCCCCTTGTGTTTACCCATTTTTCAGCCATTTATGGCTTCAATATTTTCTTCCAACAACCCCAAAGTTACACACAAAATAATCTCATTTCAATAGTCGTTCAATAGGCTCAAGGTCATACAAATACAAAATCAAGCTAACAACATGTGCGGAAATGAAGTTTAACAAAAGACAGATCTGACGTGTTTTTGCGTAACGGACACAACCGAGGCTACACATATCAGATTGAGGTGTAAATTATACCGTTTGGAAGATAAGGCAGAGAGCTACAACTTTGGTGAATACCACCTAGTCTAATTTCTAGTGTAACCCAGTCAAATTCCCAATTCACAGAACCAAATTCCAACTAATCGGCTAATTAACCATACTGCCTTCAAATGGCCATATCGCAAGTTACAAAACTCCGTTTAAGGCGTTCTTGGAGGTTTTGAAAAGCTAAGACAAAGTACTAAAACTTTCATGCTTTGGAAAATGTCTAAATCAGCACGAATCATAGTGAATAGACACGGTCAATTGGATGAACTGTCTAAAACGGATCACTGCATGCATCCTAAGGCAGTGAGGGTATTTTGGTCTTTTTACAGGCTACGTTACTCAGATTGGGCTGACATTTTGTAGGCAACCACAAAATGTCATTCTCTACAACTTTTATGTTTTGTGCTAAACCTAGTTCGGCCTCTAACATGATGAAATAGAACCGGACAGAACTGAAGCTAAGATTTCCAGAAATCTGGAATTTTACGGTTTCAAAGGAAACTTTCTTCATTTCTTGCTTCAATCACCACCACAACCTCTTATATAAGCTCAGATACAACATATACTATCCATACAGCAAGTACAGGCAGAAAATCATTCAAACCTTAACTCATTGTGATGCGGATACGGGTGCGCAACAACTTCAACTTTGGGTCAAGGACCCTTTGGTCAACATTGATGGTCCGATGACAAGATCAAGATCCAAGAAGGTGAAGGAAGCTTTAAGAGTCTTGATTATTCACCATACAAGCAAGGAGCATGCTAAGTTTGAAGAATTGATGGACCATGAAGTTACCTTGCTCACTTGCACATTTGAAGTGCAAGAATGATCTCCTACTTGGTAGATTAGTTAGTAGTTGTTTTAAAGCTGCCTAGCTTAGTAGTTGTGAATCGTACAAAGGACATGTTGTCCTTGAGTTTTAATCCGTTAGTAAGTTTCATTAATTATTAGGCCTTATCGGGAAGCCTTAAAGAGCTGGCTCTTTAAGTTTCTGACCGAATTTCTGGCTGGAATGTAGGAGCCGCTCCTATATTTTAGGTAGATTATCAATCCTTACTCCAAACGGATTTACCCTAGTTCTGGCCTATAAAAGGCACCTCTTGTATGAGTAAAAGGGAGATATTACAACCAGAAATCGTGAGGAATTTTCCTTCAAGTTCTTAATCGAACTTACTCTTGAATTCTTGAGTTCATTGCTTAGGATTCAAATCTGACTTTATCGATTAGCTTGTTCCCTAATCGTGGTGTCTCTTCATCCATCATTATTTGCTTAAGGTTGCTGATTGCCTTTGTGTGTCAGAGGTCTTGAGTTCATGAGAACAATCGAGTTCAATTTTCATTGGGAGAAACGATCCAACTCTGATAATTACAAGGTTGGGAGGGTCTAGGAGGGTCTTCCCCTAGGGTTTCTCATCAGTTGGTAATCAGTTGGTAATCAGAGCATCAGGTTAATTCTCTTTCAATTGAAGTTGTTCATATCTTATTAGTTTGTGTCTTTTGTTAAAAAAAAAAAAACTGTAGCGATTACTGTTCATCGTTACTGTTCCGAAATACTGTTCATAGTTACTGTAGCATACTGTTTACGTTACTGTTCATCCGAGTAATAAAAAAAAAAAAAACTGTTTGGTATTGTTTTTTTGTGTTTTCTGTCCAACTTTTGTTCTTGAGTCTGCTATACTTTTGTTGGGTTTGGGTTGTTAGGGTTTAAAGACAAAAAAAAAAAAAGAGTCACGTACCTTATATTGTTTTAGTGTCCAAGTTGCTAGAGTATTGCTGGAATTTTCTTTTGAGTATTGCTGAAATTTTATTGTGCCTATTTTTTGAGTATTGGTTGTTGTTCTTGCAAACCCTAAACACCACAACGTAATTTGGGGAAGTTCTTGAACTTCTTGAACAAATTCTTGAAGTTCTTGGACCACCAAGTCTTGTTTTGAAGGTTCTTGAACAATAAATCAAGAACTAGGGTCTTCTTGAAATTTGCATAACCTTTCATCCGTTTTCTTGAACTTGTTGGTGTGAACTGAATTTGTATTCCTTGAAGAGCCGAAAAAAAAAAACGAAAGAGAAAAAAAAAAGGAAGAAGAGAAGGAATTGGCTCTCACATAAAGGAAATCAAGTTTCCCAAATCTTGAGTTTCCAATTCTTGATTGGTCTCCAATTCTTGATTAGTCTCCAAATCTTGATTGGTTTCCCACAAAAAAAAAACTTGAGTCTCCAAATCTTGATTGGTTTCCAATTCTTGAGTTTCCAATCTTAATTGAATTTCAACGACCCCAAACTACCTAACCAGACCCCAAGCACCCCAAAATCAGTTTCCAAAACCACACCTAAACCACCACCAACACCTTAGCCACACCGCCTTTCAATTCTTGGGTTTCTAAAATCGGTTGAGCTAGTCTTTGCGAGCCGATTTCCCTGAAATTTGAGGACTGGTTCGTACGTTATTTGAACATCCCAAAAGCACCACTTACCTTACAACATACTGACAAGAAACTCAGCAAAACAGCCGCTCAAAAAAAAAAAAAAAAGTTCCAGATTCAGGTAGAGTTTTTTTTTGTTTTCTAGGATTCGTAAAAATTTTGCTTTGTGTCTTATTACTTATAGGGTAATTAATTCTGGAATTTTTGAGAGTTGAGTTGTTTTAAGAACTTCGAAAAGGAAAATTGAGAGTGAGAGTGTTTTCTTGAGTGATACACGAGTGCTTTGCAAGGTAGACTAGGATACATTTATTTTGCAGGTTTGACAATATGTCTCAAGAGGGGAATATGCCTGAGCCGTCTGAGACTGACATGTCACTCAAACTGGTGCTCCAAGCTCTTCAAAAACAAGCGGAGAGACATGAAGTTGTGATGACACAAATATCCGACAGGCTGGCTGCCCTTGAGATGCGAGGTGCTGGAGATACATACAATAGGGTTTCGAGTGTTCAGAGTGCTGATCATGATGCGGATGATGGGGGATATCATTTTAACACCTCGATTCGATCAAGGAAAAGCCAAAGAGGAGCGAGGGAAGGTCGAGACCGACTTAGGAGAACCGATGACAATCTTGGTTCCATCAAGACCAAGATGCCTACCTTTCATGGGAAAAATGATCCTGAATCTTACTTGGATTGGGTTAGGCGAGTTGAGCAAGTGTTTGAAGTCCACAACTACTCTGAAGAGAAAAAGGTGAAACTTGCGGCTATTGAATTTGAAGATTATGCATCCATTTGGTGGGAGCAAGTATGTGCCATAAGGAGGAGAAATAGGGAACCACCAATTGACACTTGGGCTGAAATGAAGCAAGTGATGAGGAAACGATTTGTACCCTTCCATTATACCACGGACTTGTACAATCGGCTCCAACGACTCACTCAAGGTTCTAATTCGGTTGATGAGTACCACAAACAAATGGAGGTAGCGATGATAAGAGCCAATGTCCAAGAGGATCCGGAAGCAACCATGGCGAGGTTCCTTAATGGATTAAATCCTGAAATTAGGAAGAAGGTTGAGCTTCAAGACCACTTTGAACTTCAACAAATGGTGTCTTATGCAGAGAAGGTGGAAAAGCAAGCCTTACCTCTAAAGATACCTAGTGGCCGAACCACTACATCCTCTTCCACCCCTTGGAAAAGAAATCAATTGCCAACATCCAGTGCTTGGCCAAGGCAAGGTAATAGAGAGAGGGAAAACAAGCGGATGGAACAACCGTCCCATCCGAGTGCAACTTCTTCTAAACCAACCCCGCGGCCGACTCTTCCAGGAGCAAATACATCTACCAACCAGCCAAAGGCATGTTTCAAATGCAAGGGAATTGGCCACCTTATGGCTCAATGCCCTAACCGAAGCATCATGTATATGAATGAAGAGGGAATATGACAAAGCGAAGGAGAGGAGGAATATGCGGACATGCCACCGCTGGAAGAAGAGGGGAAGGATGATGACCTGGTTGAAATAGAAGAGGATCCCGTAGCACGAACTATGGTGACTATGAGAGTGCTTAATGCACAAGCTCAAGAATATGACCTCCAACGAACCAACATCTTTCATACAAGATGCAAAATTGGAGATGAGGTATGTCTTATGATCATTGATAGTGGCTCTTGCACTAATTGTGTAGCCGCTGATTTTGTGGAGCAAAACCACATTCCATGGACTTATCACCCTAAACCATATAGATTGTCTTGGTTAAATGATGGGGGGGGAAAGTCAAGGTGACCAAACAGTCCTTAATTGCTTTTTCTATCGGTCGATACAAGGACCAAGTTTTATATGATGTAATTCTTATGCATGCTAGACATGTCTTGTTGGGACGTCCTTGGGAGTATGATAGACAGGCTGATCATATTGGACTTACCAATAAATATAAGTTCATTATGGGTAACCTCAAAATCACTCTTTCACCATTGACACCTACACAAGTGTATGAAGAACAATTGCATTTAAGAAAAGAGAGAGAGAAAAGGCAATCGAAGGAAACGAAGAAAAAGCCGAATGAGAGAGAGAATGAGGGGAAAAAGAAAGTAGAGGCCGAGTTGAGTGAAAAAGGAAATTCGAGTGGAAAAAAACTCAGTGAGGCCGAGAGCTTGAAAGTGAAAAAAAGGAATTTCTATGCAAGTGTGCGTGAGGTAGATATGACTTTGAATGCACAAAGTCTTCTCATAGTACTTCTGTACAGGGAAGCTGATTATTCTTCTTTTTACACACTAGGCATAACCGATTCTCTTCTTAGTGCAATCTACTCTCTTTTGCAGGAATTCAAGGATGTGTTTCCGAAGGAACTACCGAAAGGATTACCTCCAATTCGAGGTATTGAACATCAAATCGACTTTGTTCCTGGAGCAATTCTACCAAATCGACCAGCCTATAGAGCAAATCCGGAGGAAACAAAGAAAATCTAAAGGCAAGTCGATTCCCTCCTTGAAAAGGACCAGGTTCGTGAATCTCTTAGTCCTTGTGCTGTTCCCGTTATTTTAGTACCTAAGAAAGAAGGGACTTGGAGAATGTGTACAGATTGTCGTGTAATTAATAAAATTACTGTTAAGTATCGTCATCCCATTCCTAGGTTAGACGATATGTTAGAAGAATTGCATGGAGCAATCATTTTCACTAAAATTGACTTAAGATCTGGTTATCATCAAATAAGGATAAAGGAAGGTGACGAATGGAAAACTGCTTTCAAAACGAAGTATGGTCTTTATGAGTGGCTTGTGATGCCTTTCGGTTTAACAAACGCTCCAAGTACTTTCATGAGATTAATGAACCATGTTTTAAGGCATTTTCTTGGGAAGTTCGTTGTTGTTTATTTTGATGATATATTGATCTTTAGCAAGTCTTTAGAAGAGCATGTTGAGCATTTGCGACTTGTTTTATGCGCCTTGCGTGAAAATAGGTTATTTGCTAACCTGGAAAAATGTGTCTTTTGCACTCCTGAGGTTAACTTTCTTGGTTATATTGTTGGTGCAAATGGCATAAGTGTTGATCCCGCCAAGGTAAAGGCTATCATGGAGTGGCTGACTCCAACCAATGTGTCTCAGGTAAGGTCTTTTCATGGTCTTGCAAACTTCTATAGGAGATTTGTTAAAGACTTTAGCACTATTGCAGCACCTTTGAATGAGATAGTTAAAAAGAATGTGGGGTTTCAATGGGGAAAAGAGCAAGAAGAGTCGTTTAATAAGCTTAAAAATTTGTTAACTTCAGCACCTATTCTTGCTTTGCCTAATTTTGATTTGATGTTTGAAGTTGAATGTGATGCTAGTGGGATTGGCATAGGGGCTGTTTTACATCAAAGTAATAGGCCCTTGGCATATTTCAGTGAGAAGTTGAGTGGGGGAGCTCTTAATTACCCTACTTATGATAAAGAATTGTACGCTGTTGTGCGTGCTCTTGAAATGTGGCAGCATTATCTTATGCCTAAGGAATTTGTGATACATACTGATCATGAATCAATTAAATTCCTTAAGGGGCAGGGTAAGTTGCATAAAAGACATGCGAAATGGATTGCATTTATTGATTCCTTTTCATATATCATTAAGTATAAGAAGGGAAAAGATAATGTCGTTGCGGATGCATTGTTTAGAAGGAATATTTTGATCACTAACCTGAGCACTAAGTTACTTGGTTTTGAGCACATTAAAGACTTGTATGCACATGATGCTGATTTTTCTAATGTGTTTCAAGCTTGTGAACATGCTACATTTCAAAATTTTTATAGGCATGAAGGCTTCTTGTTCAAAGAAAATCGCCTATGTATTCCCAACTGTTCACTTAGGGAATTACTTGTTAGAGAAGCCCATGCCGGAGGGTTGATGGGGCATTTCGGTATTGATAAAACTCTTGACATTTTGCATGAGCACTTCTATTGGCCTAAAATGAGGCGTGACATTGCTAACATTTGTGATAAGTGTTTAAAGTGTAAGCAGGCAAAGTCAAGGAGTAACCCTCATGGATTGTATACTCCTCTACCCGTACCTCATGCTCCTTGGACAGACATATCCATGGATTTTGTGCTTGGTTTACCAAGATCTTCTACAGGTATGGATAGTATCTTTGTTGTAGTGGATAGATTTTCTAAAATGGCTCATTTTATCCCTTGTAGGAAAACAAATGATGCGCGCCATGTTGCTGATTTATTCTTCAAGGATGTGGTTAGATTGCTTGGAGTACCGCGTACTATTGTAAGTGATAGGGATGTGAAATTCTTAAGCTATTTCTGGAAATCACTTTGGGGAAAGTTGGGAACTAAGTTGCTGTTTTCTACTTCTAGTCATCCCCAAACGGATGGTCAGACTGAGGTAACCAATCGAACCCTTGGTGCTCTACTTCGAGCCATTGTTCAAAAGAACTTGAAGAAGTGGGAAGAATGTTTGCCTATTGCTGAGTTTGCATATAACCGAACCACTCATTCTACTACTAATCATTCCCCTTTTGAAATTGTTTATGGGTTTTAGCCGCTAACCCCTCTAGATTTATCACCTATTCCTGTTAATGAGTGTTTAAGCGCAGATGGTGTCAAAAAGGCAGAAGCTGTTCGGACCTTGCATGAGAGAGTTCGAGCTCAAATTGAGAAGAAAAATGCGCAATATGCACAACATGCAAATAAGGGTAGAAAACATGTTGTATTCGAACCCGGTGATTGGGTTTGGGTGCACATGAGGAAGGAAAGGTTTCCAGCATCTCGACGGACCAAGTTACATCCAAGAGGAGATGGACCTTTTCGTGTACTAGAGAGGATAAACGACAATGCATACAAATTGGAACTTCCAAGTGAGTATGGCATAAGCGCTTCTTTTAATGTGTCTGACCTATCCCCTTTTGACTTTGCTACAGACTTTGAAGATTCGAGGACGAATCCTTTCGAGGGGGGAGGGAATGATGCGGATACGGGTACGCAACAACTTCAACCTTGGGTCAAGGACCCTTTGGTCAACATTGATGGTCCGATGACAAGATCAAGATCCAAGAAGGTGAAGGAAGCTTTAAGAGTCTTGATTATTCACCATACAAGCAAGGAGCATGCTAAGTTTGAAGAATTGATGGACCATGAAGTTACCTTGCTCACTTGCACATTTGAAGTGCAAGAATGATCTCCTACTTGGTAGATTAGTTAGTAGTTGTTTTAAAGCTGCCTAGCTTAGTAGTTGTGAATCGTACAAAGGACATGTTGTCCTTCAGTTTTAATCCGTTAGTAAGTTTCATTAATTATTAGGCCTTATCGGGAAGCCTTAAAGAGCTGGCTCTTTAAGTTTCTGACCGAATTTCTGGCTGGAATGTAGGAGCCGCTCCTATATTTTAGGTAGATTATCAATCCTTACTCCAAATGGATTTACCCTAGTTCTGGCCTATAAAAGGCACCTCTTGTATGAGTAAAAGGGAGATATTACAACCAGAAATCGTGAGGAATTTTCCTTCAAGTTCTTAATCGAACTTACTCTTGAATTCTTGAGTTCATTGCTTAGGATTCAAATCTGACTTTATCGATTAGCTTGTTCTCTAATCGTGGTGTCTCTTCATCCATCATTATTTGCTTAAGGTTGCTGATTGCCTTTGTGTGTCAGAGGTCTTGAGTTCACGAGAACAATCGAGTTCAATTTCCATTGGGAGAAACGATCCAACTCTGATAATTACAAGGTTGGGAGGGTCTAGGAGGGTCTTCCCCTAGGGTTGCTCATCATATTGTCATCACTACAATCACCCAAAATCACATGAACTAAACATCACAAGCAAGTTTACAAGGTATTACTCAACTTAGACAAAACTAAGGGAAGTAAATATGAAGGTCAGCCCATATACCTCTCAAAGATGCTTCCAAGAATTATGCACCACCTCTTCTTGTGATCTTTTCCCCCACCAAGCTATCCAAGTACTCAAAGAAGGATTTAACCAGTTTAAAATCCTATTTTTTTTTCCCACTCAAATGCTTCAAACTCAAGATGAAGTGAGGTTGTTCTCTCTTGCTCTCCTCTCACTCACTCTCGGCTGTTATGGTGCAGAAATGAAGAGCTTTTGGAGTTGTTTTTAGAGATAAATATGGTGATAAGAAGGCAAGACAAAAGGTTTGGCAAGAAACCATAGGTGAGTGACACTTGTCACCACCAAAGCCATCCAAATTTCTCTTTCTTTTCCTTCCATTTTGGACCACATGTTTCGGTTATAAGGCTGAGGATGAGGGGGGATATTTTGCAAAAATATCATGGGTATGTGGTGGTAAGAAAGTGGTGGGTTCAATCGGTAGTGATCGATACCCGTCGGTTCGAGCCGTTTTTTCTTAAATCACGTATACTAGGGTTTTTACCTTCTAATCACTAAATTATTATTATCACTTCAAATCTTATAATATTTCCTCATCCAAAAGTCACTCTTAGCTACCAAATTTGTTCCTCACTCCGTACCGAATAGTCACACTATGAAAAAACGTGAAAACCCTAATTCGCTCTAACTTGAAAACGGACAACGAAAACCCTTACTTCTATATTATTTACACTTATTGTGGTATGATTGGGTAGTAGGGCTATTACAAAACCATAAGTTCCAAATAAAAGGGGATTTTTAAGAAAAAAACGTGAGGGTTTTACAATTCCATAAATCGAATTTAGGGTTTCGGTTAAAATGTGAGAAATTTGAGAAAACGGTCAGTCACAAGTGAAACTAGGGTTTTGATTAGACTTTTAGGGTTTCTAGTCTTTTAAAATAAAACAAGATTTTAAATCAAACCCAAAGAAATGACTTTAGTTTCTTCTTTAAACCAAAATAATGTTTTAAAATAAAAATAAACTAAAGAAACCGTAATATCCTCTTTGAGACTAAACAAAAGATGATCCTAAAAGTTGGGGTGTCACAACTACTCTAGAGATAGTTGTTTTTTTTTTTTTTATCGATACAGGAATATTTTGGAATGATTTTATCGGTGACTTCTAAATAAAGACTCAGGGAAGCTACAATCATGCTACTCGCTAGGGACTTCTGTAGAGGTAGTGGGTTTTCCAATTTCTTACTTAGGTATCTTGCTATATATAAAGTGAGAGAGAGGGATTTGGTGTAAACAAATTTTGTCATTTAATATATTATTTAATTTGCCTTTATTTCTAAAGAAAATTACATTATCTTAATTACTCACATTCTTACAATCACTCCATACCTATTGAATTAGCCACTAACCCCTAACAAAAAAAGTCATTTTTTAAAATTACAATAGTTCAATTACTTTAAATTACTATTTTTCAACAAAAGAATAATACTAATCATTTTTTATTTTTTTATTAGTAGCACACACATTGGGTGTGCGTTAACTACTAGTATACAAGTGGCAGTTGGAGTAAATATTTTGTATCATCTTTTGAGCTGTCAAGTTTATCCTTATTAAAAATTAGTTTTTGCTCTCATCACCTGATCACACGTTCCTATTGTAATTATTCATAACAATCCCAATCTAACTACCAAATTACTATAACATTATAATATAAAATTCTTTAATATTATAATTATTTCTAAATTATACATACATTGGGTATACCCTGAACACTAGTATGTATAATTCCCTCAATCGCTAATTGTAAATATGTTATATACTCCTAATGATATCAAAATAAAAGATAAGAAGAAATGATAATAAAAGGCTTAGGATTTGTTTGAGACGGTAAAAAAGTGTTGAATCTGAATCTTTAAGAGATTTAGGAGTTTTGGTTGTATGATACAAAATACTTATCTGGTGAAATTGTCGATTAAATGGTGTTGAACATGTGTGTATTTTTTCAGAGCAAAAATATTAATTGAAAAATTTTAACTATTTTATCTTATTTGCAAAATTTACCCTTATTTGTTAATCATACTTAAAAATCCTTCTCCAATTAAATAATCTTATTTGCCAAATCTATTCTCATTTGTTAATCATGTTTAGAATCCTTCTCGAATAAAACAAGCTGATACTTTCAATCTAACAGCTTTTAAAATCCTTTTTTTACCCTCTATTTAATGACTTTCGACTTCTTCTAGATAGATTTAAAATACATTCAAACATTTATATATTTTTTCAGCACTTAAAATCCAACAAATTAATTATTTCAGTATCAAACGAGATCTTTGAAATTTTAATGACATCACAACTTTTGTAGCATTCTTTTTTGTAATTGAGCATGACATTTCTTTTGGTCTGGACTATTGAGGCTTTTTATTTTAATAACCTTTTTTTTGGGATTGTTTGATTTTGCTAGATTAGTAGCGATTAGCTCTTGTTTATGTGGAGCCACAATCCATTTTAATTCTTTCTTTTTGTC